ATAATGATCATAGCGCTAATAGAAATAATAGTCATAGTAGTAATAGTAAGGCTCACCGCGTTAAAAGGGCGGTGGTTGTTGAGGATTTCCTACGCTCTGCCATGCCCAAACCATAATCCCGTTCCTTTTTCAAGAGCATACGGTCACCAGAGCATCCATGCCCAAACCATAATTCCGTTCGTGTTCCAAGAGCATACGCTCACCAGAGCATCCATGCCCAAACCATAATCCCTTTCCTTTTTCAAGAGCATGCGGTCACCAGAGCATCCATGCCAAAACCATAATCCCGTTCCTTTTTCAAGAGCATACGGTCACCAGAGCATCCATAGTAGAAATAGTTAACACTGGTAGTAAAAGCCGTAACAGCAGAAATGACTTCCCGCTTTGGTCGAGTCTTTTAGCCCTTGATGCAAGGTGCCAAACCCTTTCTCCTCAATTTGGTCGGGGCTGCGGGGAAGCAGAGATCCGCATTGAACCACAAGGCCACATCTTGAGTTAAGGCATTACGTGTCCAGGCTCTGGCTTGTACCACAGTTGTACCACAGGCGCCATGAATTAAATCTACGTGCAGGGGCTCAATTTGAGGGAATGGTGTGATATCGCTTTAACTCCAAGGCTTTGGCCGGACGAACCGAGCTTTTCACATCTTTTCCGGCGGCACAGTGAGCCACATTCCCTTCGGGTCACGACAGGGAATAACCAGCCTTGCGTGAGCCTCGCTGGAACTTCGGCTTCCCAACACGGTGGATGTGGGGATGCCCCTTTTGGGTACCTATGATAAGTAAAGCATGATCCGATTTGGGGTCTGACTTTTAACGCTCTTTTTTGTATTCCAGTACCCAATGTCAGGATTGTTTCAGTATCTTTCGACTGGATGCAAAGCTGGACGCAAGATCTCTGGCAGGCTCACCGTGTCGAAATACCAATATGCAGTTTCCAACTTGCGCATTCTTCTCCTCTTCCCTAGTGTGTTCGAGCTTGCTAAACATCTGAGAAGACCGGAAAAGAGCTCATGACTTCAAGAGAGAGGAGCTATGCCCGGCTTTCAACAGACTTCTCAGGATCTTAACCTTGGGTCAGGCCGGTCTTGCCGCCTCTAGTCCAAACAAGACCCGTTTCAAGACACAAAGAGCTCGCCTAAGATGCTAGTACTCCCTACTTACCCATATCTATTTGGCGTGCATGAAGATATACCTATATAATCCTATATATATATATATGACCATATATATATATACACACACACATTTCTGTAGATCCCTGCATATCCCCCTCAAGGCGCTACACTCCCTCTGCTTTCTGATGAGCAGGTCCTCCCTCCCAAGACAGGGTCGCGTTCAGGAGCAGGTGAAACAGAGGTCGAGACTCCCATCCTCAGAAAGGAGCGCAGAAGTAGCAAACACGAGAAATGCCAGGCTGGCCATCTGGATTATGCAATGTTCTGCTGTATTTGAGGAGCCTTTGGGTGGCCAACTATCACAGAGTGCAGCCTAAGTGGTGAAAGCAGGTTCAGACTGCTGCAAATTCGCTTGTAACCTAGCAGGCTGAGCGGCGGACGTGACTTACTATGTCCTTGAAGCAGCCTTGGATGAGCGCGTGCTCCTGGGAGATCACCGGCACTTCTTGGCAAGAAGGTGTAGGAATCCACGAATTACAAAGCATCCAGTGCTGTGGGAGTTTTTAGATGGTTTCTGGCCCAGGACCTACTGTAGCGGCAAGATGCGGGTAGTGCCTTTCTGGTCGTCGGCCTAGAAACCCGCAGTTTGAACTTGAGGTCCAAGAGCTAAAGCGGTACGAGTTCAGCAATTAGTCATCCTTGCCTGCAAGCTGCCTTAGATTCTATAGTCCCCCGTAAGTAGATAGAATATGGGGTATATGGGGATCTTATTATAATATACCCAAAGCCATATTCTATCTACGTAAGGTGGACTAGATACTCAGCTTCGATCAGCCGGACTGTCGGTAACAACCTAAATTACCAGAACAAGAAAGCCAAATTATCTACTGTGAGCCCATCTTTTGGCAACCTTTAACGCCCTGTACAGCCCCTTCACAATGCCAGTTTAATTTTTTTTGCACTTTGCTTTCCGGTTCGTTTCTGCATTGGGGTCACTTAACTCTAGACCCTAAATAACCCTTTGTGATAAACAGGACCCCGGGGCGTGACAGCCGGCTGTGTCAAGCAACAACATGGGAGTTTCCAAATCAAATACAACTCGGGCACCCTTTCTGGGGTTATAGTATCTAAGGTCTATTGAGGCCCCCATCTACGGAAACCGCCACATGGTAGTTTCCCAAAAGAGGGTGACCCCAATATAGACCCCAAACTACAATAATCCTCCTTATAGGGACCCCCAAAACAATACCCGTAATTTTTGGAAGACCTCCACATCTGAATGGACCTGCAATGCTTACCACTTGCGGCCTGGCTCTTACGAGGCAACTGACAATTGAGCTATAGTCTAAACACCTCAAATGAGGGTTCATGTAGGAAACTACTTTAGGGGTTCTTAAGGGGGATACTAGGAGTTTAGACTATAGCTCGATTGTGCGCACAGGCCTCTCATGGACTTTGGGGCTTCTCGAGCTTCAGTATATCTCACTGTTCGCATAGCACAATCGGACGAGTAGTACTGAGTCCATCATAAATACGAAGATTTTTATTCAACCTGTTGGCAAAGCTTGTCGTCGTAAAAACAATACTACTAGCAGTAGCAGCAGCAGCAGCAGCAGTATTGTTGCAATTCTGGTGGTTGTGGTGGTGGCAGCAGCAGGTGCACGAGGAGGATAGTGCGGTAGACGTTATTTTCCCCTACCGCTCATACTTGATACTCCACTGTCCCTGGTGCAACAGAATTTATCTTGCTGTTGCTTTCCCTGCTATGTGGTAGCATTGAAATGAGGTGGTTGACATGAGTGCGAAGGGAAGGTACCTCGCAAAGATCCCCCAACATATTGCCTTCAGGAGCAGCTCCGGAATTGGGCGATCCGTGAACTTCAGGGTCTTTGTGCAACAGTTCCTCAGTGCATACATGTAGAGTCTGGGTTTAGAGGTTGCTGGTTTGGTTTGTCATGGTTACTTACTAATTCATATCAGGGAATAAAGGAATATAATCCCTATAAGATCCCCAGTTATGCCCTACTGAGACCCAGTAAGGAAAGTGCTCAGTCAAGCTTTGATACTTTGTGCAGTGAAGCCCTATCAACTTCATGGTTCGGGTATGTGAACCATGGTGTCAGCTCTAGTTCAATGTCGAGCACATGCACTCTGTGACTCAAGTACCTACCAACAAAGGAAAACCCTGCACCCCTACATTCTCCTTAAGGGGGACTCCTACATGTTCCTCAGGATCCTATACGAGCTATAGTCTAAGCCCCGAGTATCCCCCCTTGATAACCCCTGTAATAGTCCCGTCTTTAATCCCCTACATAACCCCCTTTAAGGAGTTCAGACTTCTTCTCACCTCGCCCCAGGGCCTGTCACTGAAGGAAGAGGCGCAAACGGCTGACAGCGTCTGTGGCACAGAATCAACTTTGGAGGTTGTGATGGAGGACTACTCTGGGAGTTAGTACTACTCCCCCTTTTCCTCCCCCTACTACTGCCACCGCCACTGCGTAGCAGCAGTAGTGGTAGCGTTGGGTGACTCGCTCTCGTGGTAAGAGGGGGAGCTAGAAGGAGCTGCTCTCTCAGTCTTGAAGCCTTTGAGTGAGGCTCCGCGACAGTCAACGCGACGCTTGGACAGGACAAGGAAAAAAACAGCTTAGGATTGGGTGGCAGAACCTAATAAGGAAACACGGCTACAAGGATAACATAGACCCAATGTACTGTAGTAGTCTAGGCATGTCTAGGGAGAACATAGACCCAATACACTATAGTATCCCACTCAAGAATACTATCCAAGCGGTATTTGCAGGCAGCATGTTGATGCAAACTGGTGTGGGCACGGCAAAGGCCACAACTTAGTCCTTCAAGGCAAGGGTCCTAAGCCATGTCTGTTTAGATAAGGGTTTTATATTGGGGTAATGTAGTTACTACTATGGTGTATTGGGGTAATTTAGGGATAATGGAAAAGAAAAGGGAAACTACTGTAATTGTGAATCTTCAAAATCCGAGCAGCGAAGGCGTGATGCAGATCTGGAGGGTGTTGTGAGAGCAAGTTATCATTACCGTTGTTATTGCTATTATTACAATCAAGCTGGTGCCGACTGTTCTGAAGGCTACTGCAGTAGCAGTTGCCAGAATTATCCTCATGCCGAATCAACAGTTTTGACTGGTGAGGCTATCCATGACTACATGAGCTATGGTCTAAAACTCCTAGTATCCCCCTTAAGAAGCCCTATAGTAGTCCCCTATAAAGACCCCTATATAACCCCCTTAAGGAGTTTAGACTATTGCTCACATAGTTTAGTAACCTCACCAGCAAGGCTGCAGGCCTTGTTCTGGACGCCTTGTTTTTTCAAAAGGCTTGGGTGCATGGTTTTTGGTATATGGTCTTTGGATATTGCCATGCCTTGTTGCCATGCCTTGTCGGCATGCGCTGAAAAGCAGGGAACGTCGGCATTTCTGCAAGTCCGGGTCCGAAAGCTGTAGGATTTGCACACTATCCCACTTTCCATTAGACCTAGGGTTTAGGGTTTAGGGAAGAATAATCCCAGTTTCCATTTCA